AAGTTTCTCAGAAATTCCTTCTCTCAACATTAGCAATATCCCCTACCTTTCTCTGTAAGTTGTGGGCCATAGTCTTGTTTTCAATGACTGCATTGCTCTCGAGGCGGACCAGCTGCTCTGCACGAGCTAAAACGACATCCAGACGCATGTCAAAGCCAAGTTCAGCAGCCATCTGGTCCAACTTCATCTTCTCTGAAAGTTGATCCAGAAATTTAAGATACTAAACCCAAGAACAAAAATGAAAATGGGACACAAAAGTAAAGTTAGGAGGTGATCTCACAGAATTCTTCTCTTTCTCCCAAGCTTACAGGTGGCTGTCATTAAACCCAGTACAGAGCCCAGCCCCTGACTCCAATGTTTGGTGATGAATTCCTGAATAACCCGGAAGATCCACGTCTTGCTCCTTATCCAATTCTCTTGACTCTCCTGGTCAGTGACCTTGACATTCAGTCTAATATTAAACAGTTTTCTGACAAATGTGGCATGTTCCTGCCTGTCTGCATCTCCCTGCTTTGGCTAAATGCTACTGCCACCATGCCCCTCCCAGCCCCTGGGATCCATACATCCACATACCTTCCATGGCAATTTTTCCCACCAAAGTGGGCCCTGGCCTCCAAGGTGGAAACTGGCAATTTTATCAATTGCCACCTTATTCTTCTGGGTTCTACAAATCATTCCAAAATCAGAGCTCTCCATACAAACAAGCTTGGGCAATATTTTTCCCTTTTAGACTTAAAATGCTTTAGAAAATGTCTTTAAAAGTTTTTAATGTATCAAAGTTAAAGGAACAACCTTCTAAAATAGGGCTGTTATCAGGGAAGTCAAGGTTCATATTTTAAAAGGTTAAAGTTACAAAACTATGCTAGGATTCTCCTCCACCTGATTTCTGTGGCTTATCTGGCCAAGCCATTCTTAGAGTCATGTTTACTAAGTGACTGATGGATGAATAAATCAAGCAATGAGCTTTCTATATCATAATTTCATGAACTGGGTTCTATCTTTGAAATTTTCTTCTCATTGCAATAACTCCTCATCCATCTGGCATTTTCAGGCAATTATATGTTTAGACAAGTATCATTTCCTGATGACTGAAGCACGCCAGCTTAAAGCCCAGAACGCTATACTTCAGTCATCAGGATGGAATGACTGGCAAGTGTGTATTTTCCAATTTTGTTGAGCAGCATACATACAGCTTGATCTCTTCTGTGTAAGTCTCAGCCATTACCGAGGTCGCTATTGCGCTGTGGGACCGCAGGCTGCTTTTGTCCCTGCATCATGAGTTTGTCACCCCTTAACGCTGGATCAGCCCTCCTCGTGGAAAATTTCATTTCTAATCTATGTGAATGAAAGTGAAATAACTGCTACTGTTTGTATTTGAAAATAAAACAAAGTTGGTGCCTTTTATGTGAAGGTATAAATGGCGTTTTTTCTATTTCTACATGTGACCCTTCCACTTAGCAGGCAAAGGATTAAGACAGGACCAAGCCAAGACCCCACAAAGGAAGGGCCTTTCAAGGATCTCAGCTAAGCCTCAGAGACTGAAGGCTGCTGGAAGGGTTACTGTGCATCATTTGAAGCATAGTTTAGCAGGAATATACTCTGTTCTATATTGTGTAAACCTCAATCCCCTGTATTTAAATTTAAGCTCTGTACAACTCTGCTTTTCATTCTTATATGCCTGCTACCTTCCTAGGCAGTAAGGATACCACTGCTGTTTCATGGGCGGTTCCCTATGGAAGATTCACCAGGGACTGGATCAGTTTACATCATTTGCTTTCATAACTGAGAGCTGTTTTGGCGTAACTTCAATTAAAATTAATGACTCATCATAACGAAAGAGGGAAGAGATCCCAGTCTACCTAAAAGTCTTGTCTTTGACACATTCCTTCTATCATTTAAATAATATTTATTGATTTCTGCTGTAAACCCTGGAGAAACCCAGAAAGAAAAAAAAAAAAAAGACTTCCCCTGGCCTTGAGAAGTTTGGGAGTTGACTAGAAAAGATGAGTTAAAACATGGATACAATAAGGGTGGTTATTGCCGGACAGAGCCAGGAACATGTCACATTAAGGATGAGGCCTCCGAGGAAAGACTTCCAGAGCAAGAGATGCTGGAGCTGAGCCTTGAAGGGAGAGCTATTCCCGGGTGAAGAAGGTGAGGACATTTTCTCAGACAGAACAGCCATGTGCAACATGGGTTGCCAAGGGGGCCTCCTTTCTTTGGCCAGGAGACTGCTTTTTTACAGATTTGAGCGTGGATGTCTTTGGACTCAGTGACCGCACACCCGACTCGTGCCCGGCTGGTCCCAGGAGGCTTCCGACTTTGCCACCATTGACTGGCTGCAGGGACTGCAGGTGATGGGGAACCTGGAGCTGGGGACTGGCCAGGTCACTCGGCCTGCTCGGCCACGGAAAGGAATCAGGACCTGATCCTGATACAGGGCCCTTAACCTTACTCCCCAAACCTTCAGAGTCTTATATATAATAGATATTCAATAAATACCTGTTGAATTTAATTGAATTAATTTGAATCAAAGGAGCTCCAAACAATAGAAAGAAATCACCAAACAATATCCATTGTTCCTTGAAATTTACTCCTGACTCAGAACTTAACCAGTCTACCGAAGTACTGTAAAATTCAGAATATTTGCTGGTAAAATATTATACAGCAACAGATGTTTCCACCCATGGACATGCCCTCGGGTTATTACTTTTTGCTTCTCAAAATTCAAGCTGTCTCGCAAAACATCTCCCGAAACGAGCTCTCCCTCCAGGTGTGTCAGCTGACCCTGAAGAGTCTCCAACTTGTTTTCTGCTTCTGGGCTCTCTGTAGAGCTTTCTGGTGAAACCCAGACTCATTTCCCAACTGTTCAACAAGCTCAGATATTTGGGCTTCAAGCTGGGAGACCATCTGGAAACAAAGAGACAGAACAAGGATAAGCCTGGTTTTAGATGCAACAAAGTGTTAAAATCCAGTGCTTAGCCCAAGCAACAGAACTATTTATAACACTAACTTCTAGATTCTTTGTAAAAATTAAACAAAAAAAAAAACGGTATTTGACAGCTGTATTTGCCTCTGCTTGAAATAAATCTACATTCATTGTCTAATAAAATATTTTTGATTGGTATTCTTAATTTTTACATAGTTCCTTAAACAGGTTACTGGAGAACTATTTATGGATAACATTTACTTACCCTGAATACTACTATTAATTTAGGAGCTTCAAAGCTTAGTTGGAAAAAACAAGTTTATACAGCACAGCATTGGGAACTATATTCAATATTTTATAGTAACTTATGGTGAAAAAGAATATGAAAACAAATATATGTATAATGAGTGCATGTATGACTGAAGCATTATGCTGTACACCAGAAATTGAGACAACATCGTAAACCAACTATACTTCAATAAAATTATTTTTTAGAAAAAAAGGTTATTGGAAAAGGAATTCAGACAAAAAGTACTCTGAAAACCTATAAACGTGTCATTTTCCAGAGGCACTGTTCCACCACATGGAGCAGATTAAGATTATACAGTGAATTAGTCTTGCTGAGTAACCTTGAGACATTGTTGGGAATTCAAGTGCAGAAAGGTATTTTTTTCAAGCTTCTAAAAGCTCTCTATTGACTACTGGTTACTTATGTGCTAAACTCAGTGGTTCTGCATCTGTCCTGCAGAGTCATGGAGTAAGGTCATCACTGTAGCATTTGAGAGGTCAAAGTTCCTTTAACATGGTGACTCTAAATCGGGTCAGTAGTGGAGAGCAAGAAGGCAGGGGAATCTGATTACCACCTCCTCATCTAGAGCATAAAACCACTGCTTCTCCATTAAAGGCCCCAAGACTCCATGCCCCCTACCTAGCCACAGACTTCCATCCTTTCCAGGCGTTTCTCTTTGTCCTGACCTTCCCTTAAACCAAGAACATAAATTTACTGAAAACCTCCGGCACACTTGGAGAATATTCATACTGAGTCTACTAAATCCACTTTTCAGAAAATGTTGAATTCAATAAAAACACCAAATCTGAGGTGATCAATTGGTTTGGTTTTGACTGTTTTAGAAGAAGAAGAGGGGAAAGTAGTAGATGTTTGCATGATACTCAGTACCATTCTCACAGAAAGTGAAATATCCTGACAGTTTCAGACTTACCGTCTTAAGTTGAAAAAAATGTCTGTTTGCCTATCTACAAACAACCAAGCTTAAAGGCAAGAAGACATTCAAGCTGCCTTCAAACATTTTGAAAGGCTATTACATGGAAGAATATGGATTTGTTCTGAGCTGCCCTCAGAGCTCAAATTGAGGACAACAGGTATAAATCAAAGAATCATATTTTGATGTAACAATTTCCCCCAGCCCCCATAATTTCGAAGAAAGCAAACTCACTGTAAAAGGTTCATTAAGGACAAAACAAATGTAAATAAGAGAAAATTAATCCCTATGATCCCACCATTCAAAGGCAACAACTATAAATATTTAAAAACAATTTATTTTTATGCATTGCTAAATATAATAGCAAAAATGCAACTCTGTATTTTCGTTTTTACCTCGTATTTTAAGCATCTTCTCACATCAGGTAGTGGATGCCCAGTTGCTAGAAGTGGCTAGAAGTCAGCCAACCACTTGTCAAGAATGTTACGGGTGGACTGAAGTGCTACAATCAGGAAGGGGAAACTCCTTGCTCTCTGAAACTCTCCAATTTCATGCTTCAAGGTCCCAGGGCTATAATTCAATTAGTCCTATACTTCTGTAGGTGCTTAAAATCAGATATTTGATGGCAAGCTGCTCAGTATCATATCTAAGGAATTACATTTCCTAAGGAAATTGCAAATTTCGTTATAGACTATGAGACCCTAAGAACTCTCATTTCGTATTTCCTACCCATAGTACTAATAGTAGGTCTGACCTTAATGATGCATTAAAGACAACATAAAAAGAAACCTATGAAACAGGGGCTATTAGACAACAGCCTCGAGATACTGTCTCCTAGGGGGCTATCTCATGATACCATGTTACACAAGGGAATGACACATGTTTCTGTGCAACTGGAAACGTGGTTTTACATTGGACTCCAAGTGGAAAGTAAGTCTTCCTACCTGAAGATTCTTGAACACTTTCCCTGTCTCACGGTTGATCTGACTAAAAGAATGACGCCAAAGAGAAAACAGACGCAGAAAATCTCAACTGGAGAAATGGAAAACCGTGTGATCACTGAGCCACAGTCGGAATGCTGCAGATCTTACCAGAGGAGAGCAAGGTCTTCCATGGAAACCAATCAGTCAAGACCTTGGGCAATTGCAGCAAGCTAGACTAAGCGAGTGACAATGACCCTGAAGGAAGAAGCAGCCATCTGATGTAGACCAGACTGTGGGACGGGGACTGATTTCAAGTCCTCACGCTACCACTTCCCAACGTGTTCACTGAAGCAAGGAATTAACCTCTCTGAAACTCAGACTTTGCTATGACGATTAGCTGAGCTAAAATTAGGTAATTTGAGTAGCACAGTATTTCATGCCCAACCGAAGCTCAACACATTGCATCTACTTTTATCATCAGTATTGTTCCTCCAGGATGTGGGTTCAGGCAATCCTACGCTTTTGCCATGAAGTGTTCAAGGAGCCCTTCAGGAATCGTCAGTATCATGTTTCTAAACTCTTTCCAGCCAATACAGCGTGTTTTTCAACTAGAAGTCTTTCTGGGAAGGACAAACAAGGAACAAGTGTATTGAATCAGAGGTGAGAGGATCCCTCCTGCATCCTCATCCTGTGTGGACCTGAGAGGGTTTCATGGAACTTGCAGAATCAGCAGAGTATAACTTGTAAAAACACCAGCATGGCTGAACTGTGCAGAATCTACCCAGCTGCCCTGCTAAGATTCTGGCATCCAGAGAGGAGCAAACAGGGGTGAACTTTCCCATATGCTATGCACCACAGAACTTAGCTTCATAAGCTTATCTAGGTCTCTGTGCATATGATGCCACCAAGATATTTCAGAGCCAAATTTACATAAATTTACTCAAATAAATTAACAGTCCAGTCTGACTCAGTTCTTAGGAACATCAAATACCAGAGCCTGGGTGAATATATGTGTCCTGCCAAAATGTAAAATTGTGTTGTGTGTTTTTCATGCCAAGAAATCTAAAGAATCAGTAGGATTTTCTTTCCTTTTTTTCCCTCTGTTTTCTTAGTATCATCTGTAAACACATCCCTGATGTTCTGCGGGAGAAAATGTGCCGGGAATTTCAACCCTAGAGATGCACGGGGCAGGGGGCTGGGGAGGGGGGAGACTGTCATCAACAATACATACCTCATTTTAAAACAACAGCAACAAAAAAAGGCACTGAAATAACCTATATTTCAAAAACAAGCAGCTTGGATTTTGGCAGTGAAGTCATAATGCCCTAAAAGAATTAACTGACTTTCCAAGGACAAGCAACTGTTGATTGTACCAGAGAGGCACGTTTGCCCTAGGATTAAACCCAGTGGAAACCCAGGAGCTCTAAACTGAAGAAAGAAGCTCTTGGGTCACTTAAGGGTCAGTGCCCTTTGGACATAAATAGCTCTTTTCTGATTAGTCAAGCTAGAGTTTTCACTTAGGAGATACATAAAATCAATCATCAGGAACCAATCAAATTATCCTTCCTTCTTGTCAATACGCACGGCCAACACTACAGACTGGCTCACCCCCCACCACTGTGTATGTCAACTTTTGTTGTGGTTTGAACTGGGTCCCCCAGTGCCTCAGAATGTGACCTTATCGGGAAACAGAATCTTTGCAGAGGTAGTCAGGTGAGGTCATGAGGATGGGCCCTAATCCAGTATGACTGGTGTCCTTATTAAGAGGGGAATTATGGACAGAAAGACACATGCAAATGGGAGGAAAATGATGTGAAGACACAGAGAGAGTGTGGCCCATAAGCAAGGAATGCTTGAGGCAACCAGAAGCCAGGTGAGAGGCCTGAGACAGATTCTGCCTCCCAGCACTCAGAAGACACTAGTCCTGCTAACACCTTGACTTTGGACTTAGAACGTCCAGGACTGTGAGACACATCTCTGTTGTCTAAGCCACCCAGGCAGTAGTACCTGGCCACGGCCATCCTGGGAAAGTAATCCACTGCAGAGGCTGGGAGAGCTCGAATCTCCACCTGCACACGTCCCCCGATGCCCTTGTAGCCAGGGCTGATGCTGCAACATAACAGCGGACAACTAAATGTCAGTGGAAGTCAACTTGAAGCTTCTGGGTAAATGTCTGGCTTAGGATTTTGGAGGATTAAGAGCAGAGCAGGATGATGAGATCAGAAGAGGGAGCAAGGGAGTTGTGGAAACCTCTCAGGTCCTTTATGGCATCAGGTTGGGTCCCCACAGCTCCCACACGGAACTAAAAAAAACTCCAGTGGAGGAAAGATAGCCCTGTGTGTGCTCTAAAGCAGAAGGGAAGATAAATGTTTGTGAGCTTGCACTGATCTGTCTATAATGAAGAGGATGACATGGAAATCACTCATGGTCCTGTCCTCTCTGCACAGATCAATTCTCATCAGTGATCGGGCAATCTGGAAACATCTAAAAGTAAGGAAAAAAATTTACCTCAAAATTCTAAACTAAAATGTGAAAATGTCACAGCTTTCTGTCATTATTTCAAAAATACCTGTTACAAGTGTCTTGAAATTTTAAGGCTAAATAATACTCACTTAGGTAATTCCTAGGAATCCAACAGTAGAACATTCCTCTAAGAGAGCGGTTTTCCACTAGGGGTGATTTCACACACACCCCCTCCAGAGACATCTGGAAATGTCCAGAGACATCCTTAGTTGTCATAAATCGGGGGGAGGAGAAGGCACTGTTGGTATCTAGTGGGTAGAAGCCGGAGATGCTGTTACATCTGACAATGCACAGAACGGCCTTCACAACCACGGATTGCCCAGCCCAAAATGTCAACAGCCAAGAAACCCTGCCCTAAGATATAGTAAGGCCTTTTAAGAAGAAAATTAGATTTTGCTGTCATCAGAAAAAGCAAGGAACAAGTAGAAATGACTTACTGAAAAAGTGTGGGTGGTGTCCTGAGTTCTACCGAGAATTGCAAATACAGGAGAGTGACAATGAATAGCAAAGAGGTAAACAAGGAAAGCAAAACGTTCAGGAGGTAGGAATCACCGCGCAGGGGAGAATTTGCCAGGCCCAGGGCACGTGGGTATTGCTCAACTGTTGCCTGTGTGTTTATCCACGGCAGCTGGCAGGAGGATGCAGCCTTCTCAACAAACAGATTCATCAATCTGTAAAGCTCCCATTCTTCAGAAAGATTTCTAAGACAATATATGAAATCCATTTTCTCCTGATTTTACTTGAAGATGAGTCACACAAAACGCCAGCTATACGCTTGATTTCAAGCTTTTAAATAGTGAGAGCAGCTATTGAAAAAAATTACAGGGTAGGAGAGGCAGACAAAGGCACTAAAAAGACTGAATCATTCTCATTTTTATGGGGAGAGGTGGGGAGGGCATATCCAGCTTAACCAATTTACATCATTTTCCTTTAGAAAATAAACATATACATCATGCTGACAATTTTATGCCATGTTTCACATGCTGGAATTAAAATAGTCTTAGGAAAACATTTGGAAAAATAGAAGAGGGAAGCAATAAAATGAAATGGCAAAGCTCCATTAGCTATTGAAGTACGTCTATCACTGTTCAAGGTAAATCACTTAGTGAAGTTTTTCTCAGTCTTGTAAATAATTTCCTTCCCCAATTCAGTACCTATACATGTACTGAATCACAAGATAAACTGAGTCCCTCTCAGACCCACACATGTTATGGGGGGAACATTTTATACCTACAAAGAGAATCCTACACTTGGACAAAGGAGTCACCAGGGCTGCTCCTGGAGCACCTGTGAAATTTGCAGTTTCTAAAAGGAATTAAACACGTGTTATCATTAGAGGAAATTTACAACTGCAACCGTGAACTCTGAGTTAGTGATCACTGAGTTTTTCAGGAACATTAAAAGATGGAAAAGTGCCTTTTTTTCTCCTTTTGAGTAGAAAATGAACTCAAGAGAAAAAATAATTCCTAATGGAATGATACACAGAATTTATTTACTTTAAAACCCCAATAATTAGGACTTCAATAATCTGGATTTGATGATAATTTAAATAGAGTCTGGGCTGAAGTTGAATCAGTTAAGCAAAGCTTTATAAAAAATGAGAATTACTAATAACATAGGATAAAATTAAGCTTCAATCGTATGTGCAATTTAAACCATTTTCCTCCACTGGTTAAACAGGTCCCCTAAAAGACTGCTCCAGGTACCAACACATTAGGAAAAGGAGCAAAGAAAGGAGGAGGAGAGAGGAGGAGGAGCCAGGGCAGCAACAGTTAATATTTATTGTTGCTATTTGCCAGGGTAGTAAGGACTTCATAACAATTCTTTTTCATTTAATGGTCACGACAAACAATAACCTTAAGCGGCAGATCCTGTTACAGGTCCAGGAACTCTTATCTGCAATTCCAAAATCCAAATGAATCTGAAAGCTGACGGTTTTTTTCCAAAACTCATTTGCTGGCAAAGCTTGACCTGACCGGATTTGGCAACAAACCCTGACCTGAAGTGACCAGGGCTATTCATAGTCTTGATAGATCCCACGCAGTGGGGTTGCTCACAGCTTTTGCTGCATAAGATGCATGTGATTAATTGTGGGGTGCTGCCCTGGACCCCACTGACGAGGAATGTGTAAGAGTGCTTTCTGTTCGCTTTCTTGGTACTATTTTACCTTCCTAAACCCTGAAAAATTCTGAATTCAAAGCCATAGCAGGCCCCAAGGGTTTCAGATAAGGGGTGTGGACCCTGGGCTGTCCCTGTCCAGCGGGCAAGGAAACAAAATCTCAGAGGCCGTCATCTCGGGAAGCTGCCCAAGGTCACATCTGGAGCGAGTGAGTGTGCGGTGGAGACAGGACTCAGCACGGGCAGCTCTGACTCCAGGACTCGCAAAGCAGTGAGCTGTAGGGTTTAGGAAGTACAACATAAAATTGAAAGTAGTAAAGCCATACTTAATGCTACTTTTAACTAAGAGAACTCACTCACTCAGTATGCAACATGAAGGCACGGAAGCTGGGAAGCAGCCATCACCCACTCACCCGTTTCCCGCTCTCTTCCCGGCTGCCCATCTCTCGAATCCTCTCCAAAAGGACGTCCTCCGTGGGCCTCACTGTGCCCCAGCTGCCCCCCAGCAGGGCTGCAATCTTCTCCTTAAGTGAGGCGTACTGGCTCTGCGAGGCTGCTGCTGCTTCCAAACTGGCCTTCAAACTCTTCTCCAGCTGGAAAGAGCTTGTCTTCAAGAGACTCAGCTCCTGCTTTGAGGCATCCCAGACCCGCTGGCCAGCAAGCAGCCGTTCTTGGAAGACCTTAACTTCCCTCTCAAGGGCTTCTTTTGCCTCTACAGCACTGAGCAAGTCCTGAAACAATTAACGGAAGGTGAAGACAATCACATTAGCAGCCAATGAGGGGCAGCTGCATCCGCTTCTCATTTACCTGGCTTGCTAATGATTTCAAGGAGTTAGGGTTAAACGCTCATTCCATGTTTAATTCGAGGTGCCCTATCCTCTCTTCATAAAGTTATTCCATTCTAAAGCTATGTTAGGTGAATTTAGGTGTCTGAGAAAGAGAAGGGATACAAAACCAGGGCTAGGAAAAAAAGGGGGAGGAACTCATATGTAAGCCTTTTCTATGTGGACCTCTGGGAAGTGTTCATAAAAACAAATTGTTGGCTCACACACTAACAGATTCGATCCACATACAGAGTATGTTTACAGAGCTATGCGTTCTCAAGTTAGGTATACATGGAAATTGATTTTCAGTAAACACTAAACCCTCAGAGTCCTAATTAGTCGCTGAAAGTTATTTGAATAAAGATGCCTCCCCTTAAAACCATTTTAAATAACAGAGTAGGATGATCATAAAACACCATTGCATAAAGGAGAGCAAGATCTTCTTTTCAATATTCATTGACTGTGTATCCCCTTGACTCATAAAGACAAAACTAATGCTGATAGAATCTGAAGAAAGGAAACAGAAAGGAGTAGTCATTCGGTGGGTGGTAGGATTAACAGCAGAAGAACATAAAGTACCATACTGAGAAGAATAATTTTAAAGAATATGATAGGTATGATTAGGTTTGTAAAAATAATAAAGGCATAGAGAAAGTTACTGGTGGACCTACTTCTATTTATCATATCCAGAATGGTCCAAAGAGGACTAAAAAGGATATCTTTAAAATTCGTTTTAAGGAAAAAAAAAAACACTTGTTGACAAGTTCCAAAATAAATGAATTCACATCAAATATGATTAAGCAGTTGGTTAACCAACACTGCTATAGTATTGCAGTCTCGTTAAATAGCAAACACATTTTTGGTTTATATTTAAAATAGTATATTAGGGGCAAAAATAATGAAAAAGAAACACAGTATCCTCGAATAACAGATTCCACATCTAAACTGACCAGTGACATTTCAGGCTGCTGGTTAAAATGCAATCATCCCTTAAGCATTAGACCTGGACTTTAAAAGCAATTTGTCTCCACCAACAGTTTGAAGGCAGGAAGAATGTTATTTGAAATGTCACTTCCTGCTTTTTATTTTAAAAGAAGAGAAAAAAAGAGAAGGAGCATCTTACTGTTTAAATTTCTGGTGATTTTTCAAAATCATAGAAGTCTTGGGCATCAATTTGAGTGAAAAGTCACCGAGCGGATACAGGCAGTCAGAGAAGCTGCGCCTTTCAGAGATGTAATAACTGAACTAATGACAGAACCTATTTTGTGAAATGCTTTGCTTTTCCGGGTCCTGGCAAACAGCTCCGCTTCCCGCTCCCTTTCCAAATCAGTCCTCTTTGCCGAGAATCCCCACTACTATTGCTAATTAAATTATATAGAGAGTCGAGGACAGTATCACAAATACAATATTTTAACACTGCAGATTTCTTTTCAGATAGCAATACTATAGCTGCTCAGTTAGAGTAATGAGCATCAGCACTGCTGATAATAAATTGGGCACATATTTCACTTGGAAACGACAATCTAAAGTGTGGCTGGAAAATTGCAGTCCTAAATTCAATGATGCAGGCATGAAAATTAATCCTAATCCCCTTAGAGTTCTAAAGCCCTATATGAAATTATATATTAACTTTTATATTGAAAGAAAGCCCCTAATGCAAAAGAGAGGAGTCTCCATGAACAAGGGAGAGAGATTTTCAGTCAAGAATTTACAAAAGGTCCTAAAAATATACACATAAAAATATACATCAGACACTTGAGCCCTATGGACTTACTGTCAGTTTGGAATAAACTAATCGGTTGGCAGCTTACACCAGGAAACCAATAAACACAATTAAAATATTTTAGCTATGAGGAATTTTTTCCACCCCAATATTAGACTGTTGTCTCACGGCCTTAGAGACAACGGCCAAAACAGTCCTCTTTAACAAATCCAAAGCACCAGTGCTTATGTCTCATAAAAATCAGAAAATTCTTCTGTAGTCATAGAATATAGTGGCGGCAGGCCAGATTTTTTTTTCCTGAACACATTTCAGCCTAGTAGACTATATGCTGTTTCTCGTATGAAATGAAGGACCCAGGAGCCAGTGACAAGGCCTTGGGGACCTGCTCCCCCACTGTTCTGATTAAGTGCTTCAAGATTCAGGGGCACAGGGCTGATCTGCTAGAAACAGATGTCCTCAGATTGCAAATGCAATTACCTGTAGAGCTATCAGGAGACAGCGGCCAGAGCGGAGTCTGGTTGCATGGCTACCTCAAGGATACATTGAAGATCTGTGACATCGGTGTCACTGGCAGGACCTGGGGACTGCTGTCAGACCATGCTGACACCCAGAACAAGAAACCAGTAGCCCCCTCAGAGCGAAATCAGGGCTAACCTCCACAGAGGAATCCCATTTGCAAACGAGGACAGACCCTATAGGGACAGTGACAGGGATCACTTTTAAAAGATTTCTTTAAATTAACAAATCTTTAGATTCAGTCCTACTAATGCAACAAATGTATTACAGCCCCTACACAACTACTTTCAACAAAAACATCTGTAAATAATATGATCAAGGCATTTGATTTATTGTCCCAATTACATGCATTAAGTAATGAAACTATTCAAAGTTTGTGTTTTTAAAACCCAATTAATTCCTATTATGATGCTGCTAACCATCCTATGGATTTGGTTTTGCCTGAGATCAAACTGTCCCTCAAAACTAAAATGACTAGTTATCATCAGGGTGGAAAACCTCCGGCTTGAACTTCATACATCCAACCCTAGACAAATTTTGTAAAATTAAAAATTAGTTGGTTACTTCTACCTACTGCAATTAACATAAACAAATAAACTCAGAAATTCCCCCAACCATGCCCTCTCATACATTGCTGGTATAACTTTGGTATAAACATCTTAAAAATGTAATATGTACTATATCCTTTGGCCCTGAAATTCCATGATCTATTGGAGTGGAAGCTGCAGAGTAACATTTTACTTCAAAATGAAGAAGACCTTTCCTAAATTCGAGCTGTTGCAATGGCGTCATCTACTTTGGAAAATAATACTAATTCAGCTCAAGTTTGAAATTCTCATTACTGACAAACTCAATACAAGTTAACAATGAATTTAGCTGTCCATGAGGCCAGTGTGTTCCTGGGCTTCACTTCAGTACTGCAAAACACTCTGCCCTGAATTGGTCAGACTGTGCCTGGAGGACCATGGACAGTTCCCAGCTGAAATTTTAAGAGGGACATTGTTAAAATGGAATGGGTTCCGCATCACATTCTAGGACAAGACCCATAATAAAAAATATTTATGTAATCATGTTATTTTTAATTCTGTTTTAATTTATTTCAAATGTATTGAATGAACCTAAAGACAAAGCATTGAAGACTTAATTATAATTACAGAACAGAACGTAAATATTACAAACTTTGACAATGTAAATACAATAATATAATAAAAACTAGAAAGTGGAAAGAAGGAAGTAAAAAGTAGGAGGCATTAAATTCAGCATATTTTATGGCAGAACATCTAAAACTACTATCTCAGGTTGTTGAATGAAGAATAGAAATGTATTGCTTTAAATTCTAAATGGTAATTATCAGAAGTTAAAACAAGAATGTAAAATGAGGCTAGAAGTGGGAAGAGAGAGAGTTTTAAATTTCACTTTGGAGTCATTAATATTTTTAGTTTTTTAAAATATGAGCAGATATTATTTTAGTGTTTATTTTCATTTTAATTCCTAACCATTTTAGAATCCTCCTTCTAGCTTATTAACACCAACATATTGCCCACCAGCTTCTCAGAACCTGTACTGGGATGCCTCAGGCTAGACAGCTAGATGGGCAGGAACACAGCACTACCCACTAACTGGCTGGCTTCCTCAGGACCCAGTGATCCTCTTGCTCACCTACCAGACAGCCCAGAATCAGGTCCCACCTACCAGTGCACCTGCACTAGCCCTGGGACCCTCCAGGGCCTGTAGCCAGCTGACAGGACTTGGCTGCAGCCACCAGCAGCCACCTCAGGCAGCCACCCAAGGAACCAGCCCCATCACCCAGCAGGCAGACACCAGACTGAGGACCATTGTGACCCACCCCACATACCAATGAGCTAACACCAGCTCTGGGATACCTTGGCCCACTTAGCCAGCCCAAATTCCTAGAAATATACGATCTTACAAGACTGAATCAGGAAGAAATGGAAAATATGACTAGACTGATCATTAGTAATAAAATTAAATCAGTAATTTAAAAACTTCTGACAAACATAAGTCTAGGACCAAATAGCTTCATAGATGAATTCTACCAAACATTTACAGAAGAGTTAACACCTATCCTTCTCAAATTATTCCAAAAACTTACAAAGGAAGAAACATTTCCAAACTCATTCTATGAGGTCAGCATTATCCTGATATCAAAACCAGACACAGATTATCACAAAAGAAGAAAATTACAGGCCAGTATCTCTGATAAACATAGATGCAAAAATCCTCAACAGAATATTAGCAAACCGATTTCAATAATACTTTAAAAGGATATACACCATAACTGGGTGGGATTTATCCCAGAGATGCAACTATGGTTCAATATCTGCAAATCAATCAATGTGATACATTCCATTAATATATTGAAGAATAAAAATCATATGATCATCTCAATAGATATATAGAAAATGATTTTGACAAAATTCAACATCTATTTATGATTTAACAAAAAACTCTCCAGAAAGTGGGTATACAGTGGAACATACCTCAATATAATAAAGGCCACATATGACAAGCCCATAGCTAATGTCATAGTCAATGCTGAAAAGCTAAAGGCACTTCCTCTAAGATCAGGAACATGATAAGGATGCCCACTCTTGCCACTTGTACTCAACATAGTATTGGAAGGTTTAGCCACAGCAATCAAAGAAAA